GTTTGAGAAATAGTATTAATGCATATAGAAAATTGATTGATGAGTATTTTGTCATTATTATAGATTTATGTGCGAGGTATGCGAAGTCGACAAATATGTGGCTGACATGTTGTAAAAGGAAGTCACAGTCAAAATATTTACAATTAAAAAGCTTGGTATTTAGATTTATATCTGCTTGTGTGGCTTATCAGTAAATACATAGTGATAGTTTTTTCATCAATTATATCTTATTATAAATAAGTAGACACGTTGTTAACTACAATTAACGGTGGTCGAGATCATTCATATAAGGATTCCTATTAAGTAAAGTAATATCTCAAACATTTGTTATTTAATTAATTTATTAATATTCACGCCGATTAGTTTAGGTCGCTTCCATTCATATGTTATTAAAATTTATTTGGTATGTGTAATGATTTTTTAATACATCATGGTGAATATATAGAATTAAGCTGAGATTTATTTAACAAATCTAAGTTATTTGATCTGAATTTAAAATCATAGGTATATGTTTTTATACAGGTGGACCTCTCTAAGTGCACGTCCTTGGGTTCACACTTTAATAACGTGTGAATAGAGAATAATAAGAAAAAGTGCATTTATAAGGTCAAGTATATATTTGGCCAGCATTTGAACGTGCATCTAAATAGGGTGTGCACTTTTAGAGGGTACACTTAGAGAGGTTTGACTGTATAAGTTTTTGCTGTACCAGTGACAAGTATTGAAAAATTTTTTGGGACTTATGATTTACACTAATAATGCACTTAACATGGCTTTCCTATCCTAAAGTAGTTGACATAGTAAAAATTTTTATTACATACGTATTAAGGAGTAATATTTATATATTTGGGTGTTTGAAGAAAATTTTTAGATTTTGGGTATTTCATAAATTCGCCGCAAAGAATAAATTTTATATTATTTCGTCAGGTATTAAATTATATATTGTCTGTTTAAATTATTTTATTAATGCTATTTAATTAACAGAAATTTACGATTTACGATAATTTTATTTAGAGAAATTAAGCAAGGTGAGGAAAGGTCATTTAGGATAATTAATGATGTATTTTTTTTTCTTCACAAAATTAAATTATAATTTATATAGTTCTGAAGTTGATAATTTAGAGCAAGAAAAAGTATGGATATAAAAAAACTTGTGATGACAGTTATCTTGGTTCTTTTAATGTTGGGGATAATTTTAATTATTGTTCTGATTAATTCGACATATTTTAACCAATCCATTATGATAAACGTATTTAGATGAGGGAGAATATTTTTATTGATTGAAATAAGGTTATTATATAAAGGTGATTATATAAAGAATGGATTAAAGAAATCGCTGTAAAAAATTGCCTAAACCCTCGTTATATAATGAAAATAATCGATCATATTCAGTAACAACAGCTGGATCAGTTTTTATGTAAGCTGGATCGAAAGAAGTAATATCTAGTGAATCTCATGATGGGGCTTGACTAAGCCCAACAAATGTCTGACCATACGCAAATATTTGTTCATCAATAGCAACTGAAATGTTAGGTATGGTTAATCCTTGTGTTTTATGTACAGTGAGTGCAAAGGCATTTTGAAGGGGAAACTGATGTCGATTTGCAAGCAAGCCATTTAAAAGAAAGCATTTAGTCATTCTTTTTACAACAGCTGTAATCATTCTTAGTGGGGTCGGAAATACTACATTGATGGTATTTTCATCGATCAAATCGGTAATGACGCCAATAGATCCATTAAAAAGACTATGCTCAAATAGGTCATTATCAAGGTACATGACACGGGCTCCTATTTGCAAAATTAAGGTCGCAGGTAAATTTGTAAGTTGGCGGAAATTACAGTCATTATCTACAGCATCCAATTCTTGATCATTAATATGGTCGACAGCAATTGAAATGATGGGCTCTGGATTTTCTGGTTCTCGTGGTAATGTTAGACATGCTAACTTGTTTATGTTATCAGCCATTGCACGAAATCCAACTAAGTGCATGATATCAATAGGGGATCGAGATGAAGGAGTTTTTATTTTATTATCAAATACTTGCAATATATTAGTTGATATAGCTCCGTTTCGAATTTCATTTAACACCCCATAAAACATCATATCCCCATTCTGTCTGCGAGGTGTTGTTAGGAATATGGGAAAAAATTCGGACCAAACAGAGAAACGAAACACTTGGGCGCCACTTACGGGAGGTAATTGTGCAAGGTCGCCAATTAGTAAAACCTTGATTCTGCCAAATGGTAAAGTATTATTGTGCAGATGAGCGAAGAGATTACTAATAAAAGTCAATAAACTGGCAGATACCATAGATATCTCATCGATTATAATAACTTTAGTTTCCCGAAGAAGTTGGCGATTTTCTTGATCATTTAAAGCCAAACTCATATAATTACTAGAAGATAGTCATATTTTTAGTTGAGAATGAATTGTTTTACCGTTGATATTTTGGGCTGCTACACCAGTTGGAGCCATTAACAAATATTTCTCACGGTGTGATAGAAGATGGTTTATGATTAAAGTTATTAAATATGATTTTCCGGTTCCTGCTAAACCAGTTAAGAAAAAATACGGATGCCCGCGTTCACCTATACACCTCCATGCTGAAATTAATAGATTGAATGCTGCATATTGGTCAGTGGGTGTTTCCAGTAACGAATATCAAGAAATTAAGGGCGGAGAACGCATTAAAGTATTAAGTTGATTACATATAATGGTTGCAATATCATGTTGCATGTTATGCATTATTTTATCTATCTGCTGTTGGTAATTATGAGAAAATCTAATAAATCTCGCTGATGTACTTTGACTAATGCCCCGCATAACTCGATCGAATTGCTCAGGAAATCTTGAGCAAAAATGGTCACGATAGTTCGAATACGAACCTAATAAATTAACTTCACTTCTACAGGGTAAATAAAGCAGAAGTTGTTGATAAAAAAAGGCTTCACCATCTTCTATAGAGAGATGTTGGAATCGTACTAAAATTGACTTTTTTCTCTTAACTATAAATTTACCCTTCTGATCTATCCAATAAGTGATATTTGAATTTGGTCGAACGGGTTTTATTTTGTAATTCTGATGATAATGTGGATATGTAATATTATCAAAATGAGAATCGATAGGTCTAAAAAAGTACTTGTCAATAGCATCCGCCCAGTATGGATTAGAATTTTCATCATTTAACAGACGAACAGGCTTTACACTCCTTGTTTGAGTATTAGGTGGTACACTTGGTAGATAATCGACCGCGATAGTGGAGCGACATATTGAATAATCAATTAAGAGAATCATCAATTCCATTGCACCGAGATGTCTGGCTATGATATGAGAATGATAGGTATCATGTTCGGTCAACCTAAATAGATCAGAACTTTCCGGTTTGGTAATATATTTGGTCATATATTTGGCGAAAGATTTTGAGGTGACGTATTGAAAATTACAATGTCCTCGCAACAACATCAAAGTCGGTGCATGATAGGGAACAATCCATCGATCCGCTTCTTTGGTCTGGCGATAGGTATAACATAATGAAGTGGGATTAAAATAAGTATGATCAGACAGTGGGGCCGGAAACTTTTTTTTGTATTGTTCTCCAGGAAGAGGTGGCCCACCATATTTACTAGGGCAACACCGATGGACTTGATGATTGCGAACCAATTCATAAAGAATTGGTTCAGTTTGAGGATCGGGCAAGTCTGCACGTATAACATTGTGATCTATTAGATTCGGAATCGACATATCGAGATAAGCTATGCCATGGGTATGTATACTACCGCGATTTTGAAATTCATCCCTTTCAAAATGGTGCAACTATTTACTCCATTCAGCTAAATTTGGATTTTTCCATAGCATATTTCGAACTGAACTGAGTCTTTGATGGTAATGAAAATAAGTATGCAGAGGACGATTTGTCGGTAGAGTGCAACGGTCATCAGTACATGATAGAATTTTTGATAAATGTGGCCAAAGCCCTTCAGCCATAGTCATAGTATAGAATATTTGGGGTAGGCCAAAACTTTGAACCATAGCATTTACGGAATGTTCTCATTGTCAAAAATATGTATCTCCAGTTCATATAAGAAGAAAGTGTGGTGGTTAATGTTTTATTAATGATAAGTCAGTTATTGTAAATACTTTGATTAATCAAATCTGCAATTGTCGGAAGTTGCTGTTGATCGATATTTCGTTGACATAAAATACGTTGCCTATTTTGATGGTTTCATAATTTTTCTAAATTAACATATGACCAAAATGGCCAGTACCAGTGGAGACGGAATCGAGGATCTGGACATAACAGTCGAAGTTTAATATACTTAGCATATGTATCAATATGGATACGACGATTATCTGTTTCTTTACAGATCTCACCCCAATGACCATGCCCATCAGGAAAGAGATCAGGAAAAAGAATAGCTTCTAAATTGGGATCATTATATGCAATTAGTAACTCTATATTATCAGTATCTCTCATAAAACCTGCTAACAGTCTACTATAATGAAAATCCTCATTGTGAATTTCAGGGTCAAACTCATATGGTGGTACTACTATATTTGGAGGACATTGCAGCGGAGTGTTATCAGTTAATATATTTTCATTTTCATTGATTACCTGTGCCATAGGAAAAATGTTCGGAGGACGTATAAAAATAATTGAAGAAAACATTTGATCAAATTGTCTAAAAAAACGATTGTTGGTTTTTAACCAGCTGGCTGCGTTTAGTAAAGATGGGTGAAACCAATTACCATTAGGTGCAGAATCTAAGATAGCATCTAATGTTCCAGAATAGATTTGTAAAGCACAAATATTTTTCGAGAGACCAAATGCGCCAGTAAGGTGGCGATAATGTGTAAAACAATGTGCATTCTCTGCACGTCCGAGAGAGCAACTTAAATGAATGGGTGAAAGCCAGCGGCGATAAAACATCAGAACATTTGTTAGGGCATCTGGAATTGAGGCAAGCGTCGGAGCGTTGTGTCGTTTAGTGACGGACACACATGAAGCACATACAGTGATATAACCTTCTTTATTAGGATGCTTAGTGAGTGATAAATGTGGAAAAGCTCGACAAAGATCGTATTCTACATTGATATCGTGAGGGACCCATTTTGCTTGTGCAGGAAACATAAGAATTGAGCAATGGGAACAAGGAACACAAGGAAACATATAAAAAATTTCGGTTTGAACACGGTGATCAAGAGAAATCAAAGCATGTGAAGGTTGCCATGGAGGAAAAGAAAATGGGTTGGACGTTGAATGATGTTGATTTTCCGATAAAAAAGTAGGTGCTCGCGGATGGTTTGCATTAACATTTACCCGAGCCTGGTAACCCGAAAAAATATCATTTGATAAATTATAATAAGGATCATCTTCATCTAAATCAACTACAGATATTTGGGTTATTGGAAGAGACATTGCACGTAATCGACAAAGATTAATATATAATTTGATTTTTAATTGTTTATTTCGAAGTAAAAATATCACTTTAATAATAGAGAAAGTGGGCAATTTTTTTTTCCTTTTATAACTTCTGGGAATCATCAAATTTTACTTTAAATATAACAAATTAACGTCTATAAAATACAATGATTATTTTATGCAGGAATTATTAAGAATTGAGTAAATATTTTGATTTCAAGGGGTCGTTTAAAATAATCACAACATTTAATAGTATTACTTATAGTGATGCTTATTTTAATTTGAATATGAATATATTTTTAAATATTTACTAATAATGGCATTATCGAGCATTCAATTTAGTTTATTAATAGGGTAAGATTGGTATATAATTATGTAATTTTGATTGTCAAATCAGGTGATATAAATAATTTAATCGGGGCAGGTCAATCATTAATTTATTGGTAGGTTTAGTTGTGACGTTAACGATTAGTAATACGATTAATCGAATGTTAAGTGACGCTGTATAATGATGACAACATTTTATTGAATAGATTACAAGAGGATTCACATATCTGATAACTTTGTATTAATTATCGTGCTTTTCAAAATACTTGATCAGCAGATGTTCGCCGATCACGTAAAAATCCGAAAAATCCCTTTAAATTTTTCATTTTTTAAAAATTGCCACTTAAAAAGTCACAATTTCTAAGATTCCTTGTCGAATTCTATTTCATTAGTATATTGTCCATTTATATATAATATCTTGTAATTATCTAATCAAGAAGCACTAATATATTTAATCTTTTTTTACCTAAACTTTCACAAACTTCAAACGAATTTATCTTAATAATGTCAGGGTATTGTTGGTAGCAAAACCGACGAAATCTGCGGCACCAAATTCGACGTCACGGGACCCGAAAACATGACGAAAACCCCGAATCGGAGCCCACGAAATCGTTAAAGAAATCGTGAAGAATCAGTGTTGCCCCAAAAGCCCCTAAAAAAAAAAAAGCCTGGAACAGCTGCAAGATGAAGAATCTGAAGGAAATCGTAAACAAATCGTCAAGAAATCGTGGCTACATCATGATAAGATCGTTCTCAAGATGGACCCAAGACCACGGCATATTGAACTTCTCGGCTGTGGCGCATGGGAAAAACCATGGGATGCCACCTGGTGCAAAACAATGACCAAGCATCGCCCAAAATGGTTAAG